GGAACACCGGACAATACTTCAGAGGGCGATGAAATAGTTTCACCAATACGGACCCGTGACTGTCTGTTGGTTAGGTAACTGCGTATCCAGTTTACATAACCACCAGAAAATCCAAGGGCACTCAGTTTATGAAGAAGCAAGACGTGGGGAACGAGGTCGAAAGCAGAAGTTAGGTCAAAGTAAATGGCATCCACTTGAAGTTGAGAGGCAACTAAGGGAGTAATAAAATCAAGATACGTTACTAGATTGGTGGTGGTGGATTTACATTTTGTGAAACCGTGCTGGCAGAGATTTAATTTTACCTTGAGGTCGTGTGAAACATGGTCATGGATAACATACTCAAGTAATTTCGAATAATTGTTAAGAATCGAAATAGGTCTGTAGTTGTTTACTGAGACACTATTGCCTTTCTTAAAGATGGGAACAACTGCCGCTTACTTCCATAACGCAGGAAAACAAAATAATAATAATAATAATAATAATTCAGTTCAATTCATGTTTTGTTTACGTGCAAACTTAACAGCACAGAGGCCAATTACAAAGCTAGCACGAATAGAGAAAAACACAAAAATAATTAAAAAACAAAATACAAAAATGAGAGTCTATATTAATTAGACAGCATGAATAAGATACAGAAGCAAACATACACAGACAAAGCCACAATGTGAGAATCTGAGTTTCAAGTAGAGCAGCATACAATAGTAATAATAACGAAATTAATAAAAAATAATGATAATAATAATAGCAATAATAATAATAATAGTCAGGTAAAATTGACCCTGTAACAGGCCATGGAGGCCCATAGGGTTGTGAGACCTTGAGGGTCCCACATTATCTGGACAGTTGGCTCACAGATGGCAGTAAGGTTGTCAGCCTTACGCGCCGGCCGCCCTTTACACCCAGGAAAATTCCTGGTACTCTTTCTGTTAGAGGCTGAGTCGACCTCAGGGCAATAGTGCGGCTGAAAGGATTAGGTCAATTGAAAAAAAAAATCAATGACCCCATCGGGACTCGTACCCGCGACCTTGCGGCTTGTAGCATAGTGCTTCAAACAACTATGCGACCGCGTGACCCAGTAATAATAATGCCAAGGCAGTACATTGAAATAGACGACGATCACTTCCCTTCATTAATGTCTTCCCTCTTCAGTCGATGTTATGTAACCCTTGCAATCGTGACAGGCAGTTAGGAATCTTGAAAGTACTTTCAGTTAGTAAGTAGCTACGCGAATTTATTTGAAATTTGTGTGACATTACAAAATTGTAATTATGTCTAATGATGATTTACAGAAACATGGCTACATTTTAAATTGAACCTCAGTTTAAAGACCCTGGAAAATATTATCTATAAACAGAGAAGAGAAAGGCAGATATGACCTGTCATTTGTACCCTTTTTGTGCGTAGATACTTATGTGCTAGCTACAAATTCAACTTCGTGAGTTACGAAATAGGCTCTAGGAAATCGTCGTTTAGTACAAGCTTTAGGTAAACATTAAGAAATGCTGTTACCCACTCGTGGTCTCAATTTCTCCCATTTCCATAGCCGACCGGTGCGATATGGCAGCAGTGTAAACTGGCCGAGTGTCAGCCGCGAGTAAGTCTATAGGCTATGTAGCAGGATTTTGTTGCCTCTAGGAAGGAATATTTGTGAAGGGGGCAGACAGATGTTATTCCATTGTCATGGGTGAATTGGGGGAGGGGTTAGACAGACAATTCAATTTCTTTTTAATGTAAATTGCGAAGAATGGTCTGAATGTTGACTGATGTGAAACAAGTCTAATGCAATATAGATATCAGTCTGATTGCTATTAATAATATTGTGACATGTTGCGGAAAGCCGAGGCCCCCCCCCACACCAGCAGTGACGCGGCGGGTGAGTCAGCGCTCCCCTCCCACCCCTCAGCGGTAACGTAACGCTCGCGTAATAGGCGAGTAATCACCTGGCAGCTATGCGCGGTGACGTCACGAGCGGAGCCGAAGAGAGCCGAGCGGAGCCGAAGATAGCCGAGCCCCCGCAACCTGGTAACTATGCAAGGCGAGTCAACAGCGGTGACGTAACAGGATGACGTGGCACTCATTACGCAATTACAATATTAACCAAATTGTGCAGTATCCTCCTTGGTAATTTCAGAGTCAGTCGGATTGGCAACAATTTCCCGGCTTCTACAGAATTCGAAGGATTCTCGTGTTTTCGCTCTGTTCGTAGACATTTTCTAGTAGTCTAATCTGCAACCTCACACATTATTTCTCTAGGGTTCATTTTAACATCAACTTCCCATTAATCTAGTTCTTGGTCTCATAGTTTGTCTTCTTCCCTTAAGCTTGGTTGAATTCATGTCCGTGGTGTGTATTATCAAGGTTTATTTCTAGAATTTACTCTACACGCCTATCGAAACAAATTATTTTGAATTTACTATCAACGGCATTTCGGCTTGTCAGCCACTATGACACTGAAAATGGTTTACAAACCCAAAAGCTTTTGCTAGTAGACCCAAAAGAGTTTGTTTCGGAAAGTGTGTATGGTAAATTCAAAGAAGTAATTTTCTCTTGTGGTTTTCCGACCCGACATTAATACGTATGATCAAACCATACAATACAACCGCACTTGTAATATGGCCAAGAAACATATTTATTTTCATTATGTGCCTAATCATTTCTTCCCCATAAATATGATCTCATTTCCCCCATTTCTTCTCTGTCTTATTTTTACTGGTTTAATAATTAAAATTCTCAATGAAGAAGAAATCCTTTATCATGTCGTTTTTGCTTTTTTATTTTTTGCTTTAGCTGTTAACCAAAATCTCTTCTTCAGCACTGTGAAGTGACTCCCCCTTAGTCCATGTCATAACACAGCAGTACCGAGCATTGCGTCAAAGTCATAGCAATTCCGCTTCTTATGCAGACCTCTCGGCCGGCAGCCCAGCTATTCTGACTGAAAATTGTCATTGACCTCTCAGTCCGTCCTTGAAATCACCGGGATAGTATTCTAAAGGAAGTCACGAGCGCTTCCTTCCACTTACTTACTTACTTACTTACTTACTTACTTACTTACTTACTTACTTACTCACTCATTCGCTCACTCACTCACTCACTCACTCACTCAGGGAGCTGAGCCTTTCTGGAGGAGCCGCCAATTCTACAACTACTCAAGAATTTCCCAGCATTTTATGGAACACAAAGGTTCATTACCGTGTTCACAGGAGCCCTCCACTGGTCCCTATCCTGATTAATTATGGAGCACACTGAACCGCAATTAAATAAATAAATAAATTACATGGCTGTGACCACATAAGGGTACCTCTTGTTATGAATTAGATCCCTGCATTACTCATGTCTGTCATATTTAGCGGGACAATTGCAGAACACGAGATTAAAGTCCTTAAATACTCCTTCTTATGATTGAAGTAACTTTACAAGATTTAAAAGTTTAACATTAGCGTATATTAATTGTAAATTCACATAAGATTCTTGATGAAAAATACGTTCAGAAAATATATACTAAATTTCAGTCTGCGAAATTTTATATTTCCGTTTGTTCTCCCAAAAAGTAAATATTGACATAAGTCTTGTTTGACTGTAGAACCTCCTCTCTTACCCTAACAAACGCGATGCAGGTGTTCCCAGGGAAAAGGTGTCCAGGAAAATGTGTGAACCTCAGAAATATTATTGTAGAATGGGACGGGACAACTGTTAATCAGGGAAATTACAATGGTTCGCGCTTGTAGCTCGGAGAAGCATGCGTAATTTTAGTAGCTCAGCATGATTTCCAAAAGTGAAACGTGAATTTTCTGATCGTCTCGGTGAAAATCAGCTGGAATAAATTAATTAATTTTATGCGAACTCTGAAATTTGTTCGTGGTCCTATTCACATATTTCATTTCTTCTGTTATCCATTTATGTTATTGTGACATGTTGATCTGGATCTTCTGGAGAGCTGAAAGGAACCCGCTTGAGACGAGCTTTGTCTTAAGAGGGGAGCGGATGTAACGGACGAAGAATAGTAGCTGCAAGAAGAGTAGCCGAAACAACAGGAGACACCGCAAGCACAGCTACGGGACGGAAAAGGAACGGGGGTGCACCGTTAGGCTATTCGAGACGAACAGCCTTAAGGAGGGAGCAGTGTGACATGTTGAGCTATGGATGACGCCCCTCCCGCCCCCGCCAGCCGTGATGCGCCGAGCGAAGCGGAAGTGAGCCGAGTCCTAGCATCCTGGTCGCTATGCAACCTGAGTCAACAGCGATGACGTCACCAAGGGTACCGCGGGTTGCTAGGCAGCGCGGGTAACCAGGATTGTGAGAGACGACGGTAGTAACAGCGGTTACTACCGGTAGCGTTGCTAGCAACACAGCGCCAGGCAACAAGGGTGCTTATTACGTGGCCGTTTTCTGCATTGTCCGATCGAGGCTACATGAGGAACAGCGAAGGCTATTCAGAGTGAGTCCTGGAGCTACCTCCGAGTTAGTCCTCGAGCTACCTCCGAGTTAGTTCCGAGTTAGCCAGCAACCGGTCAGTTGTATTGTGGCATTTGGAGTGTACTATTTGTGATACTGCAGATAGCAGTAGTTCTAAAACTGTCAATTGTGTGATTGTTAGTGCAAATGTGAAATAAAAATTCGCTATATAAAATACGGCGTGAAGTTATTTGTCGCGATATACGCCCAATACGCGACATTATTTTCTAAGGCAGTATTTCCCAAATCCTTTATTTCCATAGGGTTTACGAACGAAAATATTGACACAATATTTTAGTCTTAAGTATGTCATTTCAATCTTTCGCAATACACGCCCCAACAATCTGTTCCACAGTGACTTATGGGAGCATTGTGAGGATCTTTAAGATCAAAGTTTCTCCATTCATCTTCTATTTCCTCTTCACCATGTCTAAACATGCACCTCAGTTAACATCAATATGTTCTCCCTCAGAGCGAGAGACAAGTTTCCACATCCTGTTACTAAAGTTACACATGTGACGCAATGACGACGCTCATTTCCGTTTCAGACAGAAGGATATCGACGGAGACGCCATGGTGTGACGTTATGACGCCGGTGAACGTGACGGCGACTGAGGCGGAACCATTGCTTGGCGTAGAGTTGCTGGTTCTTGTTTCGCTTTATGGAATCGTGTTAGTGGTCGGTGTTGTTGGCAACTCGATGGTGGCCGTGGTCATGTGCACCCAGCAGACAGCACGTATGAGGAACAACCTGATGTTAAGTGTGTGTGTGTCTGATCTCCTGGTGTGCGCCCTCAGTGGGCCCCTGGCAGCCGCCTCCAACACTTACTACAATGTATGGATGCTAAGCCACATCGCCTGTAAGCTCACAGCCTTCCTACAGGTGAGAATCACTGCATTAGCTTTGCTCTTAGTTTATAATTGTATTTTTCTTACTCCAAATCCCTCTAATAAGGTCGCATTAATGACAAAATAATTATGTTGTTTGCATACTCTATTACTATTGCATACGTTTTTCACACACTCCATATAAATAAGTTATCGCATCTGTCTAATCAACGAATCTGTATTAAATTTGGTTTATGGCATATGAACTAAATTATAATTTTATCGACTGAATATAATTCCTAATTTTTAAAAGTCTATATTTAGTCTTTATCAAGTTCTTCGTGAATAGATCGCCAGGAAGAAATATTGATTAACGTAAATATTAACTTTCATTTTAACATATTTGGGGGGGTGGCTTCTGTATTTAACGAAACTGAAAGAAACGTAAACATGTCTCTAATGTAAGATTTGAGGCTTTCACGGCGGTGACTATGAAGAAAGCAGTCTTCTGGGATTTGGCACCGTGTATATGTGGTGTTAACCGACGTTTCGGAGGAACGTATCGCCCCCATCTTCAGGGTAGAAGAANACTTTATATGACACTCAAAACGAATTTTAATAGAATCCCCCCCCCAAAAAAAATAAAATTTAGGCAGCATGAGTGGAAGAAAAGCACGAAATGAGTCTCATTAAGAATATTTAAAACATATTTCGATTTGGTGCATAGAGCCTTTAAAGAAACACATTAGATAATGAAGAATGCCGTCTTCTTGGATGTGGCGCATTGTAGATATTATGTAAACCGACGTTTCTGAGGAACGTATTGCCTCCATCTTCAGGGTATAAAACGTTGGCTACTCGATCGCGGATTTTTTATACACTGAAGATGGAGGAGATACGTTCCTCCGAAACGTCGGTTTACACAATATCTACACGGTTCCACATCCCAGAAGACGACATTCTTCATAGTCACCTCTGTGAAAACATAAAAATCTTATACGTACATTGGATAAAGTTTGACAACTGAATCCATTGTCATACTCCCACTGTTAATTAGATTTCGCTCTATATATTATAGTATTTGCACCTATTTTTTCTAGTGACGAATTTTTGTCTATCTTGAACGACCATCTAGGACACAAGCCACTGAAAACTTCAGCGATAACTTACTTACTTAAGGAGCTGAGCCCTTCTTGTGAAGAAGCCAAATCTGCAGCTACTCAAGAATTTCCCAGCATTTTATGGAACCCGAAGGTTCATTACCGTGCTCACAAGAGTCTTCCACTGGTCTCTATCCTGAACCAGATCAATCCAATCCATACTATCCCATCCTATCTCTCTAAGATCCATTTTAATATTGTCAGCCCACCTAGGCCTTGGTCTTCCGAGTGGTCTCTTTCCTTCTGACTTTCCCACCAATATCCCATATGCATTCCTCTTCTCCACCATTCGTGCTACATGCCGTGTCCTCCTCATCCTCATTGACTTGATCATTCTAATTGTTGAAAATTGTGTATTCCAAATTGCTGTATGTCTACTACACTCTTCATTCCTGTCTAATATTCTTTTTCAGGTTTCCTTTGCAACTTAAACCCCATTTTCATTTTTGGTATCACGTGATCACATAGAAATTTACTTTCACATGAAACGGCAATAACAGTTCACTTATTATAACTGGACGACAATAAATAACCTTGGGGACGTGAAAGTTCAATTTCGTTTCATCGCATTTGTATTACTCCAAGATTCCTCGTTTATGGCTGAAGTATCAGAGTTGCGATCACTGGCGAATATTCCGGCCTTTTTACCCTGCCCATATTGGCGCATACCGTGAGTTCATGGATATGGTGTTCGGTTTTATGGCCCTTTCAGTAACAGCCATATGCAGAGGATGTCAGTCACTGCGACGTGCTGCTCACAAATGAGCGTACGCTATGTTACTCGCAGCTCTGTCCAACTACTACTTGCTGCGAAGGCTTGTGCGTTAACCTTGCCTCACACTAAATCAGTGACAGCGTAACAAAAAGACGGTGCTAAGGGGAGGAAGGAATAACGAGCAGGGAAGGAGCAAAAAGAAGAAAGTAACCCAAGAATAGAGCAATAGAACAAAAGAGGAAACCCTTACAGAAAAGGAACTTGCGTTCTTGCGTTATGAAGCATTTTCATGAGCACAACTAAACTTAAAGAATGATAAACCTGTAATAAAAAGGAACAATTGTAATTGTGTGATGTGAAATAATTAAAACTTAGTAACGCAATGAGTTATCACATCGAATGCTTTCAGAAGAAAGTATGAAGTTTCGTTTTCGTAGCAGAATATAATAAAAATATCATTAATCTAAATAACGCTGCATGTGACATTCACGATCTTAAAAAAATATCGATTTAACCTTTCATTTGTGTTTTATTACGTCACATCCTTAGCATGGGAGAATGACAGACGATCCCGTGCGTCATCTGCTAGGTTTATGTAGCTTCCGGCCTCACTGTTCAGTGTAACGAAATATACAGGGTGATTCACTCGGAGGAGGCCGCGAGCTAATATCCTGTATTAGGCAATAATTTATTGATGAAAGCAAAATTTGGCGAGTATATACCTCGTCAGATGGCGAAGTAATTTATTACAGAAGATGCAGAAACTGGTTTAAATAAAGCCTGGAGACACAGGCTGGCAAAACGCCCCATTCGCGTCAGTGTTATAGCTCGCTTTGCAGGAAGGATAGTAGCAATTGCATTAGTAATATTCCTTTCCAGGTCGTCAGTACAGCGAGGTTTGTTGTAAACACCCTGTCTTTCAGCAGTTTCCACGGGAACAAATGCGGTGGAGTCATGTCTAGGGATTGACCTAATCCTTCCATCCGCACTATGGCCCTGGGGTCGACTCAGCTTCTAACAGAAATGAGTACCAGGAATCTTCGTGAGGGGAAAAGGGCGGCCGGCGCGTAAGGCTGACAACCTCACCGCCGATTGTCTAGAAAATGTGAGAGCCTCAAAGTCTCACAACCTTATAGGCCTCCACGACCTGTTACAAGGATAGCTTTACGATGTCTAGAGACCGGGACAGTCAGATTTTTTTGGAGATAATTCTGTCTTCAGAGATAATGCCGATTTCTTATAAGGATCGATAAGACATGTAACACATCGCCTTATCGCGTTGAAAATAACCGAGTGTCAGCTCCTGCTCGTCCATCTGGTTCACAGATTCTTGGAAATATGAAGATATACATCGGTGGTGAGCGCCGTGGGGCAGAAATTGGGCAAATTATGTGGGTACGTGACAGACGCTGTCAGTGGATGAAAGGACACTTCGTGAATGGTATAAGGATTTGCAGCAAAAGAAAATATATTTTGTGAAATCATGTAACCCGGAAGTGAAATGAATCTTCGTCTTAAACCCACGGCATTTTCAAAATGTAAGGGTTTCAGCAACAAGCTTTTGAAACCACTGGCAGTAGGCAACTCTCTTCTACATGTCAGGAGCTTGGAGGTCCTGGAGAAAGTAGAGCTATAATAGCGAATCTTTTCTCTCCTTTCACGCGACGAATAGACATGTGAGTCTCCTGCAGCAGGTGAAGCCACGAGTCCCAACCCGAACGTCCTGCATCGTGTTACCGGTCATTGCAATCCGATCTCTTCCGTGTTGAGTCTGCCCGCTTTCTTTAGTCTGAAATTTTCTGACCGCCATCTGCATAACCAACTCTAATGTTACTACAGTACCGAAATCGCTTCTGAAGTCCTCCTACCAACATTCTAACGATCACCGTGACCAGATACAAGCTACGAGAAGAAGATGCTCCTCAATCACGTACATTGCTCAGCTACACGCACGTGAAATCGCAGACTGAAAGGGCTGGCTCGAAACGGGCAGGCAGGCGGCACCCTGTCAATATTGCGAATTACACACTACTGTCATGTCTCCTATTCATGTAGTAATTACTGCGTGATTTATAATTAACCCGTGGCCTGGGATATGATAGCTCAGGCAATTAGTCGCAGATTCCTAACGCGGCGGCCTGGGTTCGAGCCCGGGTCAGGTCATGCAGGATTTGTGGCGGACAAAATGGCACTGGGACAAGTTTTGTCTGAGTACTAAGGTTTCCCCTGCTAATATTCATTCCATCAATTGTTTCAAGATCATCATCTCTCATTTGGGGCTGCTGCAATAGGCCAGTAGTAACCGCAGCACCAAGTGGACTCAGTCTCACCACACTAAGAATAATAAAAAAAATGGGGCTACCTCACAGTGAAAACATCCTGTAGATTAAACTGAAAGGAATAAAGAATTCCTCTCTGTATAAAGAAGACTCTGTGTTTGTTTCTTATATATATGTATATATTTCCAAACTGTTGCACCTGTTATGTATTCGGCATGACGATAGAGGACCTCCCTGGGGATTCCAGACAGTTGCACACGGTGACAATAGTATGAGAGTAACAACACTAGGATCGTGCAAAGAATGGAATGGTCCGTCCGGCCAACCGCACTTCTGCCAAACGGCGTGTCGTAGAGAAAAAAAGTAAAGTCAGAAAAGGCTCTTCTTGGAAAGGACCGTCGAAAATACAGAGTGGCGCACGAAGTGATCCTGTATTTAATCTAGTAATAAAATCTTTATTTCAATTGCAATATTAGAAACTAGCATACAGAAAGAAAGACCACTGTATGTGGTGGACAAAGTGGCGCTGGGTCGGGTTTTCTCCGAGTACTTCGGTTTCCCCTGCCAATCTTCATTCCACTAAATTCTCCATCATCACAGTCACCCGGGGCAGATAGAATAGGCCAATCAGTGGCCTCCGTGCCGAGTGGACCCAGCTGGACTCCACCCCCCACTAAGCAAATTAAAAAAAAGAAGACCAGTGCATGCAGATTCGTCCTCTGTGAATCAAGCGTTCAGTATGACCACCACTACGTTTGGCAACTTCTTGAACACGAATTGTGATGTTGAGTACTGGACGGCACATATCCTCAGTTATCTTGTTCCAGGCCTAAATGATTAGTGCTCTCAATTCCATTACTTTGTCTGCTTTTATGGTAAAAATCTTTACCTTAAGGAATCC